ATTACATTAGGAAGGACTTTACTTTTAGAAGACTTTGTCTCCCTTCGTAGCTTTCCACCCTGTTTTGTGATGTGTGGATGGAGGATGAACAGAAACAATTTTATCTATCAGGCAGTGTTCTGCAAGTCGAGGTTGTAAATTTTATTTTGTCTTTATAAAAGAAAACGCTTTTAAAATGCTGATCCTGAAATTTTAGGGAAGCATAATCTCTAATAACACCTGATTTTAGAGTTCATTGCTTACTAACCTGGCTTATGCTAGGTCTTGCTGAGACATTGTCATTTTTTTCCACAGCAAATCACTTCCTTTTTGCCTGCAACTCAATCCTATCACCTTCTTTGTTTAATGCTGCTAATGTGCTGTATGACTCCTTGCCTGAGTGATCCTTCCATAGTTGAAAGAGAAGTTCCCCATTAAGCCTTTCTGTCTGAGGCAGAAAGAAAGTCAATAAAGATCAAATAGGAAGTAAGTCCATGGGGCAGCTGAGCCCCCTTGCAAAGCTGCCAGTTCAGCTGAACAATTTTCTCCTCTCTGCTGGACCTTCTGAAGAGAGGAGTGAACGGAATCAAATACTGAGGTGTGGGGGTATCTAAAGGAGTGTGCCTTTGTGGTCTTACTACGTGGCTTCATTCAGACACAAACTTCCCTGCTAATTCTGCAGGAGGGAGAGACATGTTCTTAATGGGAAAATGTCAAACAAATTGCAAGGAATGTCCTCCATATGTAGGAGTAACAAACGCAACCAGATGCTTGGAATTTAATATAAAAGTACTTTATTTTTATTTATTTTCAGAAAAAGAAAAGAAGAAATCTTGCTTTAAACACCTGGAAGTGGTGTGCTCCATTCCTTCTCGCTCGCTTCTCCATCCAAGTTACTACCACAGCTTCGGAATCACGGAAAATTATATTATCTTTGTAGAGCAGCCGTTCAGACTAGATATTGTCAAAATGGCAACTGCTTATATCCGAGGTGTGAACTGGGCTTCCTGCCTGGCCTATCATAAGGAAGAAAAGGTATTTTTTCTAAAACCGAGCAAGAGAGTCAGCCAGGCCAATATCCCCTTCCATGCCCTTCTCTCTTTCATCTGGCTCATTAATTTCAGTAATCCCTTTTTTTAACTTCAATTGCTGACACTCATGATGTACATTTTTTAGAAGCTGTGTGTTTATGAATGGTATCCCTGTATCCAAAAATTTCTGAAATTCTGATTCTGAAATGCTTCAGAAGGACGATACTATTTGACATTATTTGGCCTCAAGAGAAAATAGTGTGAATGAGATCTGCTCTAGGTGCAGGGTATGAGATAGAAGAGCCAGGTTGGTAGAGATCTCTGGATCCAACAAAAGGATGGTCTTTCATTGTGGAAACTAAGGAAGAAACAGGCTGGGGATTTTCCAGGTTTTACTGGAAAACTTCAATCCTCAGAGCAGCCCAAACACAAGAAGGTGCAGAAGTGCTTTAAACTCATTTTACTCTTGCATTTTTTTTATTTTAAGTTAGTATCACTTGTCTCCTAGCAGCAAATTCTGAATTCTTAACAAGCTTCTGTTGAAACAAACAATGCATTAGATTATTGATGGTTTAAAGTACAATAAAAGTTCTAATAAATGATTATTTGCTGATTTTTGAATGGTTTTAACTAATAAATTGTTTGCTATCTTTCAGACTTGGTTTCACTTCATAGACAAGAAGACTAAAAAAGAAATACCCACCAAGATTTATACTGATGCTATGGTGCTTTTTCACCATGTTAATGCTTATGAAGAAGATGGTCACATTGTTTTTGATATTATTGCCTATGCAGACAATAGCCTGTATGATATGTTCTATTTAAAAAACTTAAATAAGGACTTTGAAGAAAACACCAAGCTTACCTCTGTGCCAACCTGCAAGCGATTTGTTGTTCCACTGCAGTATGACAAGGTAGAAAGAAAATGGCTTTTCTGTCCGCTCTTACATCATTAATTTAAAATACTTCAATGTGAGTAATGGGTGAATTATTAGTTGCCAACCCTTGTGTACAAATTCCTGTTTCTTTAAAAATAATGTGTTTATGAAGCACGTAGGAGTTTTGTTTGCTTTGTGTGAGAAATGGCAGTGAGAAGTTGGACACAGCACTACATGGATCTGGATTCTGCTATCTTCCATGACAGAGACAGGGCTATGTAGCATATATAATTTTCTTCTCCGTGGGAGTATTTGTAAAATGTTATTAAATATGAGCAGATATATCAACTTGGATGCTGATTGGCAAGGCACGCTTGAGATTGAATAATTGGTCCCTTCCAATTTACTGGAAACTGGTAATGTACTCACACTCCCAACTGTTGCAATCGTTTTATTAAAATTAGAAGATTTCATTGAAGCGTGAGATTTACCAGCAAGAGGAAAGATCTTATCCTTAAATGTAATTTAAAACGTCACTTTACATCATTGTTTCCAGGGAAATTTTTATACTGCTCGACAACTTCAGCAAGTTTCTGCCTGATGCATTTGGAATGGGTAGATAATACCTTTTCTTACTACGAATCTTGCCTACTAGTACTCAGACAGTACTATTCAAGCTATGAATGTAGCTTTTCTTTAAATTAAATATTAATGTTTACTCATTTTACAATATAAAATAGCATCACTTTATTACATAAGCTACCTACCTCATTTTATGCTTCTTTAGAAT